CCTATAAGAACGGCTCCCCTGCGCATCCGCATTTCATGGATCCCGGTCTGTGCTCACAGTACTGGAATAAGTGGCTTTTGCGCCTTGAAGAGTTCATGGACAGAAACTGACCCAAACTAAGCTACGTAGAGGCAAGTGGTCTGAGCAGAGAGCCCAAAGCAAGAATCCTTTGTTTAAATCTTCCATTTGAACACATATTCTTTTTTGAGTAACTTTGGCTAATTTCTTAATATCAGGGTTTCCCCCCCACCCCCCTCAAAAAAAAGAAGGAAAAATTGGAGTGGGGAGTGTGTATTTGCTTACATTGTAGGTGACTTAAGTGGACCTGGCAGGACAAAGCTGAGTTAATTAATCTCTGTTTTTCCCCACAGATTTTATACAACCTGAGGTTGATAGGAAAGTTTCTATTATCAAGTAAAACTGATAATCAAATAAATCATCCTTCTTTTGTCATTTTTGGAAAAAAATAAAACCTGTTGCAGAACTGAGACTTTGAAAATGAAGTTGGTGAACTAAAGCAAAGCGACATCTGCATTGTCTGAGCTGAGAGAAATGCAAACGATAAACAAATGAATATAGTAGACTGGGTTTCAGTCAGCTTAGTTCTTGCTCGTCTCAAAGGTATCTATTAACAGGCTTTTTACTATTTGTGGTTTTTCTTACAGCAACAACTGGAAAAACTGCACTAAGAATTATAACCAAAGTTCTCGTAAGCACTTATTTAAAATACTAAGGCAAAGTGATCATTTAAAGAAGTGGCTTAGCAAAAGAGGAGCAGAATTGTAACCGATGCACTTAGAAATTTCCAGCAAATGTTCTGAAAGGTAGGAAGTTTGACGACTACTAGTGGCTTCTCCTGCAGGTTTCTGAACAGGCAGAACAGTTTCATGTTCAGTTTTATGCGCAGCATAAAAGAACTGTGAGAGAGTGTAAGCAGGCTTTGTACCTTAGGTTGTGAGGCTCCATGCAGGCCAAGTCTGCAACTGTCTTGAGCTCTCCTGACTTCACTGTGGGTCTGAGCCGACAAGGAGCCTACCCATGTGGAACGATCTCCAGTGTCAAGTTATAGTGTTTGCCAGTGCGAGTAAGCTTCTTTATAAAAGCAGGCTTGTGACTTTGAAGCCAGGCCTTCTGAGGAATGAAGAGCAGCTGATTGGGTTTTTTGGGGGTGGGGGTTCAAATAAGTTTGTGAATACATGTTCTAAAACAGAAGAGTTATTTTTGAAGCTTGTTTCTCTGTCTACAGACTTGATTTTTATGAATAAGCCTTGATGTTGTCAGGCGATACTGCTTTGTGTGTTGCACACCTGGAAAGCTTTTTTCCTCATTCTCTTTGTTTTCTCTGAATTGTATGTATGAGTTTTTGTAGTAACGCTGCAGATTACAAATAAAAATATCACCAACCCATAAGCTTCAAGAAAATCAGCCAGAACCATACTTAAAAAAACCAATGGGCAGGCTTGCTGCTGAAGAAACTTAAACCTCTATAGTGCTTAATCTCTGCTCCTTCAGAGTGCTGAACTGTGGAAACCTGTGCAATTAAACTTAGTTGTAGTGGTACTTGCTTATTCAAACCTAGTCTGGTGATGGTATGATTACTCTGTGCTTAATTAGATTTCTATCTAAAAAGACAAACATGGAGACTGAGAAACTGGGTTCAGAGATGACTAACCACGACGACGCTGCGTGAGCGCTCAGAAGTTCTACCTGTTTTACAAGTATCTTCCCACATCACAGAATTTTAGCAAGTGGGTGGTTCAACGTCACTGAACACGGTCAGTTTTCTGTGAAAGATAGCTCCATGGATACAAAGAGGATGGGCACAAGCAAGAACTAAGATGCCCTGGGCAGAAGCACGAGGTGATAAAACCTGCTGAATTCCCTGTGTTGATTGGGATTGGAGAAATCAAGAGAGCGTGGAACCAGTTGGGCAATGTTTGGGTGGGATTGCCGCCTTCATCAGTGCATCATACAGTCATTAGATGTCTCTGAACCATGTAAGATTTCAGCCTCATCCTACTTCCTAGGATGTAGATAAGGAGAAGTCTGGAGCCTGGGCAGTGCGGGCACCTGTTGGCTTCACCTGTGTTTGTTGGTTTAGCAAAAGCCTTGTGTCTGAGGAAGGCTGCCAGCTTCACTAGCAATGTTAGTTTGTAAACCTACCTTTAAGTCTCTGTGAGTCTGTACCATCAGAGAGCCAGGAGAAGGCAGGCAGCCTTCAAAGACAGTAGCAGTGGAAGTTACTGGTGTCTAGTACTTCTGAAAGTCTGGCTGCCTCGGGCATCCCTGTGTGAGCTCTGAACATTTCTGTAGAGGCACAAGCTAGTGCCAGTTTTGTCCCGTAACAGAACTGGCAGATGGCTGTTGCTGATGTCATGCAAACTCAAACCCACTTTGTGACCAGTTTAAACTAACTTGCCAGACTGTTAAATTGACATGCCTAAGGCATCTGCTATGGGGTGTATCTGTCCTCTGCAGAAAAACCAGCCAGACAATCAGTGCAGTTACTCCAGCTATAGCATCCAGCTTGTCAGAGCTTTGCTCTCCATCCAGAGCGGTTTTTCTTCTGTGTACTGTTACCTGCTTCTTTTCCCTGTAGCAGTGAACGCTTTCCCTGACTGAGATCACATAGATGGACCACCTTAATGTGTCTGTAGTTCTTTCAGCAGGGACATGCTATGGCAGTGATATTGGAGGGAAATCAAAAGCAATGTGTGCTACAGGAGGGGGGAAAAACAACACCCACACCCACAAAATGTGTCTCCAGCTAGATAGGGAGGGTTTCAGCTGCAACTCCGCTGCTCCAGTGTAAGGGCTGAGGTTTCAGCAGAGCTAAGCACACGAATCCTTTGCAGTTAGTTGAATGCTCAGATGGACTCTACTCAACAGTCCCACCTAGGAGCTGAACTCAACAGTTGAGTTTCATGACTGAGACCTCACTGAGCGGGTTACAGGGGAGTGTCACCAGCACACCTGGCTGAACTGGCTGTTAACGCTTTTCTTAGCCAGGCAATTTTGTCCATGTATTTGCAAGCACGCAAGCTTCGCTCAGAGTGAGCAACCTTCCATTTATACTATTCAGTTATAATGGCACGATCTCAGACGAACTGGGGATCAGGGCATAGGCTTTAGCTCTTTTTGCAAAGTAAGGATCTTCTAATTTACCTCAGATGCTTTTTTTCCATGGACTTCCCATTTATTAAAGTATTCCGTGAACTTCCCCGTTACATAGGATGACAAGTTTGTTCTTTACACAGTAGCATCACTTTATTATCCTCGCTTTCAAGGTCCCAAGCACTGACAGTTGTGCTGAATAAAGTATTAATATCATTAGAAATGCTTTAAAACCCCTGGAAGCTTTTCCCCACAAAAACCCAAGCAGATGCCTGTACAAAACTGAGGCAAATCGAGAAGATTTTTACGATTCTTGCAGAGACGCTCAGAATCTATCACTTTAGTAGTGACTATGAAGGTCCCGGCTATGACTCTGTATTTTAGGTGGGTTGCTTTTCAGCTGTTGTTTCAACATATATAGACTACAGCGTATCCTCCCCAAATGTACAGCTTTATTTTGAACACGACATGAATTTTTGGAATTTACAAATGCAACCCATTAATTGTTATGCATTTAAATTGATGTAAAACCTGTTGGGCGGCTGTGTCCATTAAGTTAAAAGACAGATGAATAACATGCGCTTGGACCAGAGTACCTTGTGGTTGCTGAGGAAGTTACCACCCCACCCTGTCGCTCCTAATATAGACACCCAAGTGCCCAGTAAAGGCTGCAGCAGCTTCTGAAGAGTCTTAAAGTGTCAGGCGGTTTCAGCGACATCAGTTATGGGCATCCCTCTCCCCTTTTATTTTAAATCCATAAATTCACACTTGATAGACCCTATAGGCTACCCTCTTGGTTGTCCTGGGTCAACAGGAGCTGGAGCAGGACTACAGGGGAAGTCCAAAAGCACAGAGACGTACTACCAGTCCCTCATCATCATCGCCACCTCCTTCCCATGTAGCATCAGTCTCACTAGGAGCCTTCTAAACTGACAGTGGTTACAGATGAGAGGCCAGGTTCATGCCTGCAGTTTTGCACTGATCTCATGAGGCAGAGACGGGCTGTCTCCCTCTTCACTGCATTGCAGTGCTCTGTTGTATTAGTGAATGGGCACTTGATCATTAAAAAGAAAAAAAAAATACCTAAACACACACACACACACATACAAACCATAAAATACACACAGAATTGCATTTCATCATGACAGAAAATACATATCTTCAAGTCATTAAAGTGTTTTCTTTGGGTTTCTGGGTTGATATTGATGTATGTTAAAAGGATGTGGTAATAATCCCCAAAGTGAGCGTGACAAGTCCAGGAACATCAGAGTTAAGGTTACACTTAAATCTAAACGTGATAAAAGTAAGTTCACAGCTTGAAGTACCTAAAACATGACCGTAAGTCTGCCCTGGAATAATGCCATTCGCTAGTAGAGAAAGTTGGAGGAAAAAGTTCTGCATCCTTTAAAAAAGGTTTCAGCTCACCTTGGATCACGCTTCCATAAATTGTTAGTGTACTGCACGGGGGGCAGAGTTAAGGTTATTTGCACATTCTACCGATACAGTGTACTCCTGTCCTTAAGACCATTGTAATTCGTTTTGCATAGAACAATGTACTAGTAGCTGCTCTTACACGGCACTTTTCACCCCAACCTCTCAAGTACGGGAGGTAACGGTTATTATCTTTACAAAATACACTGGGGAAAGGTGAACTTATTTGTCAGTGGCCTCTCGGATGTGTGGTAGAGCTGAAACAGAAAACAGGTTGCCTGAATGTCATTTCAGTAAATACTCCATCCAAGAGGTGACAGCCTCTTCCAAGCTTTCCATTTTTTTTGGCCAGATAAAAAAGTCTGATGTTTGCATCATATATGGGAATATTTCTTTCAAGTTGAGGTTCTACCAACATCAAGAGAGTCCCGTTAACAAAAGCATCCCTTTCATTTCAGGGATTTCTTTCAAAATTGGTTTTAAAAAAATAATATATATGTAGTCCTACATGTAAACTTCATTCCTTTAGACCACTGTAATCCACCGTGTTACTCATCTTTGTCATCATCTTTGGAGTTCCTCTGCAGGACAGGGCTCAGTTTGTTTTGCAAAACTGCTGCAAGTTTTTTTGAGGTTTTTTTCAGGAAAGCGCTTCCGGGGTGAACATTACTAACGTGCAGGTACAGGTCCTCCTGCGTGGGGCCCGTGTAGCCGCAGTCTTCGCACACGTAAAGTTTATCTCGCCTCTGTTTGTAGGCGTATTGCTGCTGCACGCCGTGAATCTTCTTAAGGTGGGACTCCAGGGAACAGCGCTGGGTGAAGGCTTTGTTGCAAACCTCACATTTGTAAGGACGAATTCCTGCAACATTAAAAGACAGCGATTACCGTTCTGATGTGCGTTTCTTACAGCCGACTAAGGAACTGGCTAAGAGCAAAGCTCTGGCCTGTCAGCTATTGAGCAAATGCTTAGCAGCAGGGAGCTACTAGCCCAAAGAATTAACTGTCTAAATAAAACATCTTACTTTCAGGCTAGAATTTTTAGGAATGGGTTGATATATTTAGGAGTAAGAAACCTAGAAACGTTTCGAGAAGACGTAGGCAGATGCTGAGGATGACAGGTGCCCATCGGCGCTTTGGTCCTAAAGAAGAAGCCGTT